TGAGTGGTCCATCTATCAAATTGATGTGTCTCCAATTTAGAGACAAGGATGTTGTGCAGGACAGTGTCAGACACTTTGCATAAGTCCAGGTAGATGACGTCAACTGCTCTGCTGCTGTCCATCAGTTCTGTAGCCCCATCACAGAAAGCCACCAAATTGGTCAGGCAGGATTTCCCCATAGTGAAGCCATGCTGGCTGACACCAGCCACCTCACTGTTTTTCATGTGCCTCAGCATTCTTTCCGAGAGAATCTGCTCCAAGATTTTGCCCGGCACAGAGGTGAGACTGACTGGTCTGTAGTTCCCTGGGTCTTCCACCTTCCCCTTCCTGAAAATGGGGGTTATATTACCCTTCTTCCAGTCATCAGGAACTTCACCTGACTGCCATGATTTTTCAAATATGATGGACAGTGGCCGAGCAACTTCATTCGCCAGCTCCTTCAGGACCCACGGATGGATTTCATCAGGTCCCATGGACTTGTGCACGTTCAGGTTCTTAAGGTGGTCTCAAACCTGATCCTTTCCTACCGTGGGCCTAAGGTCTTCATTCTCACAGTCCCTACTCCTCTTCCCTCTTTGCAGAATTTTTGGATGCATAATAAAGCAATGCAAATTCTGGTCCTGGAGCCAGAGACTTAACTTGCAGCCCTCAGATGGCTTTGAAAATACTGTTCTTAATCTCATTCCTCTCTTCACATCCTGTTTACAGATGGGACAGTTTAGACTTACCCATGTAAGAGGGATAATATAACACATGGCTGCAATGTTTTGTAACATCTCAGGTTCTAGACAAATGTAAAATATTGCTATTCATATTCACATATTATTTTGATGGTACAGTTTGTATGTGACCTGGAGAAAACCTCGGCAATAATTCACTACCCTGCAGTTCTAATATAACTGTGATATAGAAGGTGTCTTGGACCACCAGTTGTTGTTGAGAACAGCAGGTAATAGGCACTGACTACTAAAAGGAGTTAAGCACCTAAATGCATGCGAAAAATCCTACAAGAGAGTCTCTGCATTTCCCCAGACTCCATAAAACCTTTAAACATTCAGCCACAAAAATCTTCCTTGAGCATGCAGGTGGGGTAAAAAGACCCTTAATGTGCTAAATCTGTACCCCATCACAGCTTGTCAATAAATTGAAGTCAAGGAAGTGATTATGGAGGGATGTAATATACGCCTTTTCAGGCTTTTTCACAGCTTTTTGTGTAATGCCTTGATGCATAATGCTACTGCTGCTGCACTGCAATTAACATCAGTAGATGGTTTTACCTCAAGACCACAGATGAAATCCTAGTAAGGCAGCAATTGCTCAGTGAGCTGGACGAAGTATTTCCAGTTTCCCATAAGGTACAGCATTTTGTCATTTATTCTGCCAAAAGAACAAAATATTTGCTCTATACTTGCTTTTGCTGTTGAACTCAAATCTGTCTCAATTACAGAGTAAACCTATTTTTCTTTTTTCTTTTCCACATTTTTCTCTAGTCCCATGCTGTCTACAATTCATAGAGGTTTTAAATTGTTTTTGTTATGTTGAAACGACAGAAATATTTAGACTTTTTTAAAAGGAGAAACACTCCACCACCCACTTCTAGCTTCAAGGGCTGTTTGAAATAACCTTATCTTCAGCTTTTCATCTAGAGCACTGAAAAACAAGTACAGAACAATTTACCATGTGTAGAGCTTTCAACTGAGACCTGTGAACTGTTTTCCTTCCCCTCTGGTCCACAGCTAGTATAGACAGAACAGGGTTTATTTTGATGGTGAGGTGTTTTGTGTCACTCATTTATCCTCATGTGCCAGTGCAAGACCGCCCTCTCGTGTCAGGAGTTTTGCTTGTGCTCGGTCTGGTATGTGCCCCCCAGCTAATGGAGTATAATCGTTATCTCCAGTCTTGCTTCCTGGAGAAGGCAGTAAATAAATGTATTTAATGATCATAAGTGTTCCTCCCAATTCATATGCATAATGTCTTCTGCTAATTCATGTGATAGCTTTTTATACCTTATGGGATATTTGGATTAAAGTAATTTATTAAAAAGTTTAAATATGAACCCTGATAATTGATTTTTCTCATTCTCTCTCTCTCTTAGCTATGACTGTCCGGAATGGAGGAAATGTGCTGGTTCCCTGTTATCCCTCTGGAGTAATATACGACCTGCTGGAGTGCCTGTATCAGTATATTGACTCTGCTGGACTCTCCAACGTCCCTTTTTATTTCATCTCACCTGTTGCCAACAGCTCCCTTGAGTTCTCCCAGATCTTTGCTGAGTGGTAGGTGTTAAAGGGCTGCTTCATCAGCCTCAATTCACACACTTAGCTATGGTAAATAGATGTATGCAGGTTATCTCTACTTGACACACTCTAAAGTATCTCTTAGACTTTATCAACTCACACTACAATTGTTAACACTTTTCTTGAGTCACAAGTGCATGTGTGCGTGTGTAAGTAGATGTTCTGTGTTAGGGAAGCATCATTTCCTATAGAACATACGAACTCAGTAATGTGTCCTTTTTGGTACTTCCCCTAATGATTAAATTATGTACCTGAGTTGAGTGAATTTTAGCTATGCCTGTTTGCACATCCCTGTCCACTGCCCCCCAAAGCGTGGTATCACTGTATAAGGAAAATAAATTTTTCAGGCTTAATTTTGCTGAGCCAGCAGTGTATTTTCATGGCACAAAAAGGCCAGCAGTATCCTGGGCTGCATTAGGTGGAGCACTGCCAACCAGTCAGGGAAGGGGATGGTTGCCCCCAAAGAGTTGTAGTCAATGGCTCAATTTCCAGGTAGACACACCTCTCCTATGGCTGGATCACCAAACTGGAGCACCTCTCCTATAGAGACAGGCTGAGAGAGCTGGGCTTGTTCAGCCTGGAGAACAGAAGGCTCCAGGGAGGCCTTAGAGCAGCTTCCAGTGCCTAAAGAGGGCAATAAGAAAGCTGGAGAGGGGCTTTTGACAAGGGCTTTTAGGGACAGAACAAGGAGGAATGGCTTTAAACTGACAGAGGGGAGATTGAGATGAGATCTTAGGAAGAAGTTGTTCCCTGTGAGGGTGGTGAGGCCCTGGCACAGGTTGCCTGGAGAAGCTGTGGCTGCCCCATCCCTGGCAGTGTTCAAGGCCAGGTTGGATGGGGCTTGGAACAACCTGGTTTAGTGGAAGGTGTCCCTGCCCATGGCAGGAGGTTGGAACTGGATGAGCTTTAAGATCCCTTCCAACTCAAACCAATCTATGATTCTAGATTCTATGATTATCAGTGTGTAGAAATATCTGATGGGAAGAAGTGAGAATGAGGGAGGCAGACTCTTCTCAGTAGGGCCCGCTGACAGAACAAGAGGCACAAATTAAAACACATGAAATTCTGTCCGAACAGAAGAAACACTTTTTTACTGTGAGGGAGTTCAAACCCTGGAACAGGTTGTGGTGAGAGTTCATGGATTCTCTGTCTACGGAGGCTCCAAAGCCCAACTGGGCACAGTCCTGGATGACCTGCTGTAGTGCTTGAGCAGCAGCTTGGACTGGATAATCTCAAGAGGACCCTTCCAACCTCAACAGTTCTGTGATTCAGAAATCTTAAGTGATTGATGCCACGGGAGAATTGTAAAGAAGAGTGAAATCTGGTGAATTTAATTATGTTGCTTTCAGCGGAAGTAGGAAAACCTTGGTGTCCAGGCCAAACTTTTGTGTACTCACCAGGTTGCATTGACTCATGCAGTTAGTTTATAGTTAAACAGTTGTTTGGTTTGTACTTCCAAGGTGATTTCATTTCAGTAGAAGGTGAAGTGGTGGCTACTTAGTGTATAGTTCTTGTTGCAGCAATGCTGTTAAAGTAGCAGGAAAGTTACCCC